GTCCTTGTGGGGCTTGTTGAAATGGAATCATTTAGATTCTTATACGCTCTACTTGCTTTTTCAGTATATTCAGCTTCATTGTTTGTGAGTTCCATGATTGTCTATGTAACCTGGACAGAAGAAAGTTTGCATGAACCGATGTACATTTTATATGTGGCTTGGTCCTCAACGTGATGGTTGGGAGTTCGGCTTACCTCCCCAAGCTGCTGATTGACTTATTGTCTAAAAATTCAACTATTTCTCTTGCTGGATGCCTATTTCAGGCCTTCTGCATCCAGACTTATTCATCTGCTGAAATTTTTACCATCACCGTTATAGCATATGATCGATATCTGGCGGTAGGTCACCCTCTGAGGTACCCCATGCTGATGACAAACGTGATCAGTCGAAAGTTACTATTTTCCATATGGATCCTTGTTCTTGTGGGAACATCTGTGGTTGTATTGTTAACGGCAAGGTTGACCTTTTGTGCAGTAAATATCAACAATGTCTACTGTGAGACCATGTTTTTCTCCTACGACTTTCTTGTGGTGATATCACAGTTAATAATATCTATGGAACAACGTGGACCTTGTTCATTGTGATTAGCTCCATGGTTGTGATCATTTACTGTTACATAAGGACGATAGTCATCTGTCTCAAACTTCCTGGGGAAGCCTCTCAGAAAGCTGCCCAAACGTTGGTGACTCATATAATTGCATTTTCCATTTTTATGACTGGAACTATGTTTATTGCATTTAGGTATAGATGAGGCAGCATTTCTCTCTCAACTGTTGCCCATGTTGGCATCTCTATGAGTGGTCTGAGTACATCTATTACTGTTAATCCTCTTATTTACGGCATAAGGACCACGGCTCTCAGAATAAGAATTGCACACAATCTGCAACTCTTAGGAAAGTTAAAATAACACACTCAGTTCATGATTTAATTGTAGTAGATTTACTATATTTGTAACTATGTTCATTACTTATCCAGTTTCATGTAGTCATGCAGTATGTAGCAGAAAAAAAGATTTCACTGGTGACAAAAGTAAGGTCTGGATCACACCTAGGCTCTGCATTAAGTCAGGTGCTAAAATTCATTTCAATAAGGGAGCTCATTCATTTTGACTCAAAATGCAATCTTCCATTTTTTATTTCTTAACACAATACACATGTGTTGCCACATTCTGCAACATAGATGTGTTCTCACAGTACATTAGGGCACCACTGAAAATGAGTGGCACTATAATGCACGAACATCATACAAGCAAACTAATTCATGTTGATTGGTTGCTTCACAAAGAGAGAAATTATTCATCAAAACTTAATATCTGGAATTAATGTTTGCAATTTAGTACCTGATTTAATAAGCAACATTTTTTGCAATGCAAAAAAGTTGGAGTGGTAAGGTTGCTGGAGCCGATTATGATATGGTGCCTACAGAGGCATCGCTCTACTAGCTAATAGCTAATGCTTACAGCCACCTTTCCTCCACTTCTATGTTCTCTTGTACTCACAACCAATGGCCAATGGCTCACTCCTCTTCTGAGTGCAGTATTGCCATATCTTTCTCAGTAGTTCCTAATGGAAAAGCTGTCATGTTGATGACTTTTCTACTGGATATGTGGAGAATAGGCATTTTGAGAACCACTTGGCTCCACCAGCTTAGAAGAGGGAGACCCTCTCAAAGGTCTTATCTCCTATATGGGTTCCAGAGGTGAGTGCAAGTGAAAGAAATAGCATGGGGGGGGGGGGGGGGGCAGTTGTAATAGTCAGGTTAATTATTATTATTATTATACAGTATTTATTTATATAGCGCTAAAAGGTTTGCTCAGCGCTGTACATTATAGTGGGGGACAGAACATGAGACAATACAGTAACAAAACACGAGGGGTCAAGGGCCCTGCTCTTTTGAGCTTACAATCTAGGATTATAAGTGTAGTTATCAATCAAAATATGTTGCATGTTTAAAAAAAAAAAAATTAAAGCATATCTGGTATGTTAAATAATATAAATTCTTTATTTTTTCTTATTTTACGTTAAAGTGGAACCTCATGGATAACAAAAATTAACCGTTGCAGTGGGTCCCCCTCCACCCTGCAATGGTAAAATGCTCATTTTGTTTGGGGGTAGAGGAATAACCAGAAATACTTATCTTTATTCCTCGAGCTTCCTTCATGATGAATGACCTGTCCTCACAGCTTCTTCTCTTTGCCATTCACACAGTTGTGGCCTCTCCTAAGTCATCACACATATTATGTAGAACCAGTGGAGAGGAATAACCAGAAATACTTACCTTTATTCCTCGAGCTTCCTTCATGATAAATGAATGATAGGTGCTTCTCTTAGCCACTCAGTTGTGGCCTTTCTTACGTCATCACACATTATGTAGAACCAGTGCCCTTGCATTATATGTCAGGTCCTCAGGGGCCCTGTCCAAATCCAGGAGCACCGGAGAGTGGAGAAGAGCACCAGCTGTCTGGGGATTGAGGAACAAAGGTAAATATTCTGCTTATTCCTCCACCTCTATACAAAACCAGAATTTAACTATTGCAGTGTGGAGGGGGACCCACTGCAAAGTAATTTCCGTTTTTCCTGAAGTTTTGCTGTAGCCTCCCTGGCGGTGTTCCTGAGTGTAGCTCGGGGTAAAGTTTCAGTACCAAAGCGGTAACCCCGAGCTACACTCGGGCTTACCATGCGGCGCTGCTCCGGGATCCTTCGATCACTTACCTTGTCCTGCGCTCCGCGATGTCCCCCCCTGCAGTGTCCCCGGCAATGTCCTCCGGCCGATGCCGCATCTGTCTTCCGGGTTCCGGTCCCTGCGACGTCGGGACGTACGGGGACGGAACTGGCGGGAAATTTGAAAATGACAAAAAGTGACATTCGCTAAATACACTAAAATCACATAGTATAACATGACTGTATCAAACCATTTCACATACATTTTGTCCCGAGTGCTTTGTCCTGCGCCCTGCCTGCATTTTTACTGTTCTTTCTTTCTGCCTGGAAACTGAGAAACGTCCATGGTGTCCAAAAAGCGTCCCTTTAGGTCAAAAGCGGTTTTAGACCGGCTAGAGAACAGCGATAGTAAATTAGAACCACTTGCAGAATTGAGTGATAATGATTCGTGGGGGAAATTCGTCATCAGACACTGAAAACGATTCTGCGACTTTGCTCAGTGATGTGCGAACTTGGCGCTATATTTCAAATTTCAGTGTTTTTGGTTTGATTATATTATTGAATTAAATTTATTATTATTATATTATTATTTTTTATGATTATTTATTAAATTATAATTTATGATTTCGTGTTTCAAATTTTATCCTATCTGGGATGTTTTTTAGACTCTTGTTCGGACAGATTTCAGTGAGTTATTCCTAAAAATTAGCACGGCACAGCCCTCACCTCCTCCCAGCTCTTTTCTCTTTGCAGCTATCACTTCTGTCTAAACTTCATGGTTAACTTCACTTTAGTTTACTGCGCCAGGATGCCCCACTGTACCTGCTCTGAGTGTTGGGATGAGGGAAGGACCTCAGCGGGTCAGGCACAATGTCCATGGGGGGGATCTGGCCTGGGGGAACACAACTGAAATCTGGGGGAGTACAGTATACCCCAGCACCCCATAGATCCATGCTCACATTGGATGTTAAAGCCAATTAATCCTCCGGGTTAAGCAGCCTCCGGCTAATGTGAGAATATTTGTACCAGGAAGCACCTGATTGCAGAACACCTTTAACCTTAAACGTAGGGATACAATTTTAAACTAAGGCAAGCGGTCTAAGGAGGAAAATGGTGACTGTGGTGGGAGCAACGGTGGCCCTGTTGGATTTTTGGACAGGTGTACTTTATGCCCCTCACCTCACGGGAGGATACTCATACTGGGCCACTTTTTGGGACAGGGTTAAGCATGGGAACTGGCCTGGGTAGTCCCAAAACAAGGTTGCATTAGTATCTTGGGAGGGTTATAGTGAAATACTGGTGTCCATTGATTCCAGGTGTGAAGAGGTTAAATCCTATAATGGCTTGTTGTTTCTAACCTGTCCTTTAGGGGGGAACTCACTCATTAGAACCATCCTCCCCACACCAGTACCTGTGGGTATTCATCCAATTCTGTACCTCAAACACCTCAACAAACTCCTACACATTCCAAAAATGTTCATAGAACCTGCAAGGCCAGTTATTGCCTCTCTAAGACAAGGGAGATACATGGTATCCATGGACATCCAAGATTTCTATCTCCATATTTTCATTTACCTACCCCATCTGTATTTTCTGTGATTTTCATTCCAAGACAATAATTTCCAGTTTTTTTGCACTGCCCTTTGGCCGATCGTATGCTGTCATAGTATTCACAGAGTTCCTAGCACCTCTTCTTACTTTTCTAAAAACTCAGGAAAACAACCATTGCTCTATTCGTCTCCCAGAGAGGCCCCTCAAAAGCCACCAAGGGGTGACCAAGTGGGATACTTAATCCCCAGTATTTGTCTAAATAGTATAGGGGTACATAAGTGGCAGGAGACATTTAATATAGGTAAGTGATGATTTGGCATCCAAATCCAAAGACGGAAAACCTTTTGGTATTATAAGCCAGGTCTGATTAGACCGTGTGTCACCAGGGCTGCACAAGCTCCACTGAAACAGTCACATTCAGAGGTCTCATAAAAAAGAATTGCTTTCATGGTGTGAACAGGAATTGAAAGGAGTTAAATTCTTAGAAGACAGAGTTCTAATAATTTACTGTTAAAAAGAGAAGGAGGGGCATTTTGCCAGAAAAACCTCATTCAATGTAACAGAATGTAAACTTTGCAGCACAACCAATCCTTTATTGCATCTCGCCACATGCGATCATATACAAAAATTAGAGTGCCACTTTAAAGGGAGATCTGTTCAAAAGAAAAAAAAAACAAATACACATGATATTGCCTTTTTTGGGTAATTGTAGAAGATTACTCAGTGCCTTTCGTGTACAATGCAAGTGTTGTAAAAAGAAGTGCTCACAGCCAATCCCTTTGTAGCACCTCAGTAGTCATCCTCTTCATCAGAGTCCATCACTTTCTTCCTGTTAAACTTTACCGTTGTCTTCTTCTCAGTCTGTTGACTCACTTTTTCCAAAATCTCTATTAGACCCTCTTCACATAACTTCCCACCAAGCTGACCAATCTTGCCATCTGTATAAGGTCATTTTCTATGGTTTTGGCTTTCTCAGGCTTCACCAAGGCATGATTGTTCAACCATGCCTGAGCAGCCTGGCTGAGGACCTGGGATAAAATGCTATTCTGCATGTCATCTTCTCTTTGTCTAGCTTCTTGCTGAGCTTGCTCTCCTCCCTCCAGCTTCCCCATACCTCCCCTGTTGCTCCGCCAGCCGCTGTTGTCTTATTGCTTCCAGCTCCGGGTCTGACACCCCCACCCAGACCTCTGGACTGTCTGAATTCTGATCCTGATTTTGATAGGCTACTGATCAACTTCTGTACAACCAGTCTGTCAGATTTTCCTGGCTATAGCCGGCACCACTGATCAATGTATTCTGATTGGGGAAGTCTTCCCACTGTTAGAATACAGAGCCTCAGCAGGAAGGATCCCCCATCTATATTAAGAGCAGGGGTGGACTGACAACTCATGGGGCCCCCGGGCAATAGGAGATCATGGGGCCCCTGTGTCCTTGCCCAAACTCAAAAAAGCCTATGAAAAAGGTACCAGGGGCATCTCATAGGGCCCCCTACTGTGCCCTAGTTTCCAAATGGTCAGTCCGCCCCTGATTAAGAGTGCGGTTGAATGAAAAAAAAAAATGCTCATCTATGGGGCCTGGCCTTTCGTCATTCTGGACTGGACCAGAACTTAGCCTTGAGCACCCTGAAAGGACAAGTTTCGGCTTTTTCTACTGTCTTTAAAAAACTGCTAGCTGCGCTTCTCCCTTGTCAAGACTGTTAGACAAGATGTTTTTTTCTTGGATTAGGTCACCTATGCAGGATGCTGTGCTTCCTTGGGACCTAAGCTTTGTTCTGTCTGCAGAAACCACCCTTTATTTGACTCATCTCACAAATTGGTCATCCTGGTAGCTATCATATTGGTGGAATGTGTTTCAGAGCTGGCATCCCTCTCTTAAAGCAGCCATTATTCATCTTTCGTAATGACATGGCAATTCTACGCCCAAGGACACCATTCCTTCCCAAGGTGGTTTCAGACTTCCACCTCAATGAAGATATACTTCCATCTTTGTACCCTACTCCAAAGCACTCCAGAGAAATTGCTCTTCATTGCCTGGATGTAGTCAGAGCGATCAGACTCTACCTATTTGTTCTGCCAGTAGGACCTCACAAGAGACACCCTGCCTCAAAGTCAACCATTGCTCACTGGATCAGACAGCTGATTGATAGATCTTACACAGAACAGTGGATATTTCCTGGGCATTCTGGCACTGGAACATCCAAACAGAACATCAGTATCAACGTGTAATTGTTGTTAAGATCTACTTTATTACATTCGTACAGAGGTTACATAGTCCCACACAGACGTTTTGATGCGTTTCAGCCTGAGTCGGCTTTAGTTATAACAATCATTTTAAAAAGGCACAGCCAAATAAATAAACACATGACACCTAAACCGAGAGAAGAACCCTGGGCAACAAGAAAAAAAAACTCCTTATTTATTTATTTCAGGTACTTATATAGCGCCGTCAATTTACGCAGCACTTTACATATATATTGTACATTCACATCAGTCCCTATCCCTCAAGGGGTGTACAATCTAAGGTCCCTAACTCACATTCATACATACACATACTAGGGACAATTTAGACAGGATCCAATTCACCTACCAGCATGTCTTTGGAGTGTGGGAGGAAACCAGAGTACCCGGAGGAAACCCATGCAGGCACAGGGAGAACATGCAAACTCCAGGCAGGAGGTGCTGTGTCTGGGATTCAAACCAATGACCCTATTACTGCCAGGCAGAAGTGCTAACCATTTAGCCACTGTGCTGCTCACTTCACAGCAGACCTCACCCCAGACCAGGAAGAAATGAAAAACATACAGACAATAAAACCTTAACTATAAATGAAAGAAAATAAGAACAAAACAGATTATATATGAAAAGAAAAAGCACCTAATAAAAAGCAAAAACTAAATATTCTACATCTATACAAAAGGAGAGGGGAAATGAGACCAGAGAGGGAGGATCAACAAGGGAAGAACCAGAGAGGGAGGTCAGGGAATGAGCAGTCCCAAGTCTCACCCAGGGGCGGACTGACAACTCATGGGGCCCCCGGGCAATAGGGGATCATGGGGCCAGGGGCAGACTGACAACTCATGGGGCCCCCAGGCAATAGGGGATCATGGAGCCCCCGTGTCCTTGACCAAACTCAAAAAAGCCTATGAAAAAGGTACCAGGGGCATCTCATGGGGCCCCCTACTGACCCCAGGCCCTCAGGCAGTGCCCGAGTTTCCAAATGGTCAGTCCGCCCCTGGTCTCACCTGAGGTTTAACCCTGGTCCTCAATTTAAAAATCCACCAACCCTCGCCCGAGCTCACCCACTGATTACCACAAAATTTAAAAGAGGAGAGATCTCCCCCCCATAGTGTTGCTTAAAATGACTCAATGAATTGGACATAAACTTTGCATTGGGATTATAGGAGTCACAGAAATGTTCATCGCCTCTAGTCCTGAAGGATCGGGTGGTACATCCTACATACTGTAAATGGCATGAGTTACAAACAATCAAATACACCACATAGCTTGTACCACAATGTATGTATTGTTTAATCCTAAATTGTTCCCTGTGACCTGAGAGCTCAACATTTTTGTACACAAATTAAGATGACAGTAACTACAGGTGCTCAGGCAACAGGGGAAAACCCTGAAGAGGACAGCCATGTCGGTTTATCAGCAAATGTAAAATAACTGGGAGAAAGGAGGGTACCCAATGTGGGTGCATGGCTACTTGACAATCTGCAGCTTCTCTGCAATATTGTAACCAAATCTTTATCAAAATATAAGATAACTAAATATCTCTTAATGAACTCTACATCCTGATCATATTCTCTAGAATACTGTATGCTCTCTGAAGGAAGGGCATACCCGTGCCGTTCTTTCAAAACTGTGTGTCGTGGCCTGGGACTCCCATGCGTATGTTAACACTAGAAATTCTGAAGGATCCTCTGCACACTGGTATATAAACCCTTTCAAGCAAACAATTCAATAAATAGGGATATTTAGTTCACACATATTGCAATACATGCTTAAGCTGGCCAACTGCGTCAAAGTAATCCCTCTATGGCCAGTCCTACTCTGCTCTGCCTACGCAAATGCTACTGTGGACACAATGCTAGCATAGGGGAATGAACAATGGAGGAGAGCTACAAGGTTCAGGTCTGGCTACTGACCCAACAATACAACAAACAAGAGATCCCTGTGCTCAAATCCCAACAGCTAGTGCATGCATTTATCCATCAGGTGCTAAAGTGGTGCAACCACATATTCTCAAGGACCCTCTGCACACTGGTATTTACCCTTTCAAGCAGACTATGCAATAATATATAAATGTATAAATGTATTGCAATATGTGTGAACCAAATATCCCTATTTATTGCATAGTCTGCTTGAAAGGGTAAATACCAGTGTGCAGAGGGACCTTGAGAATATGTGGTTGCACCCCTTTAGCACCTGATGGATAAATGCATGCACTAGCTGTATGGATTTGAGCACAGGGATCTCTTGTTTGTTGTATTGTTGGGTCAGTAGCCAGACCTGAACCTGGTATCTCTCCCCATTGTGTCTTTTCCCCTATGCTAGCATTGTGTCCACAGTAGCATTTGTGTAGGCAGAGCAGAGTAGGACTGGCCATAGAGGGATTACTTTGACGCAGTTGGCCAGTTTAAGCATGTATTGCAATATGTGTGATCTAAATATCCCTATTTATTGCATAGTCTGCTTGAAAGGGTATATACCAGTGTGCAGAGGATCCTTCAGAATTTCTAGTGTTAATATGTGGTTACACCCCTTTAGCACCTGATGGATAAATGCATGCACTAGCTGTTTGGATTTGAGCACAGGTATCTCTTGTTTGTCCCATGCGTATGTGACGTGGCATGTCAGATGGCTGGAGCTTGCGAATCCAAAAGGAAGACTGGGTGAACATGGAAGCCTCTGCAGCGGTGCTAGCACCCCGCTGGAGGGCTTCGTTTTAAGGTAAGTTTTACATAGTTACATAGTTAGTCTGGCTGAAAAAAGACAAAAGTCCATCCAGTTCAGCCATAAAAAAAAAAAGTTATAATCCTATACCCACAATTGATCCAGAGGAAGGCAAATAACCCAGCAAAGCATGGATCAATTTGCTTATGCAGCGGAAAAAATTCCTTCTTGATCCCCAGAGAAGAAATTGGATATTCAATGGATCAACTTTACCTATAAATGTTAGTATCCAGTTATATTCTGTGTATCCAAGAAAGAATCCAGGCCTTTTTTAAAGCAATCCACTGAGCTGGCCAGAACCAACTCTTGACGACGTCTATTTAACATTTTCACAGCTCTCACTGTGAAGAATCCTTTCTGTAACTGGAGATTAAATTTATTTTCCTCCAGATGTAAAGAGTGCCCCCTTGTCCTCTGTGATGACCTCAGGGTGAATAACTCTACACCGAGTTCATAGCCCCCTTAATGTCCTCTTCTCAAGAGAATAAATTCAGTTCCTCTAATCTTTCCTCATAGCTGAGCTCCTCCATGCCTCTTATCAGTTTGGTTGCCCTTCTCTGTACTTTCTCCAGTTCCCCAATGTTCTTTTTGTGAATTGGTGCCCAAAACTGAACTGCATATTCCAGATGAGGTATTACTAATGATTTGTACCGGGGTAATATGATATCTCTCTCTCTGGAGTCTATACCTCTTTTAATACAAAAGAGGATTTTGCTCGCTTTAGAACCCGCAGCTTGTCATTGCATGCCATTATTAAGCTTGTGATCTACCAGAACTCTCAGATCCTTCTCCACCATTGATTCCCCCAGTTGTACCCCCCCCAGTATGTATTATGCATGCATATTCTTAGCCCCCAAGTGCAGAACCTTACATTTATCAACATGAAATCTCATTTGCCACATAGTTACCCAATTACACAGAGCATTGAGGTCGGCTTGTAAGTTGGAGACATCCTGTAAGGACGTTATTCCACTGCACAGCTTAGTGTCATCTGCAAAGGTTGAATGGTATTTTTAATTTCAGACCCTTTATTAAAAAGTAAGTGTCCCAACACTACACCTTGGGGTACACCACTAACAACCCTAGACCATCTAGACCATTCAGTGTATGAATCATTAACCACTACTCTCTGAATATGATGTTTTAGCCAGTTTTCTATCCATTCACATACAGATTTTCCCAAGCCTGTAGACTTTACCTTACATATTAGCTGT